TTTATCCAGGAACCTCCATTGACATTAAATATCTCTCTCACAAACACAGCTGGTGAAGTTAAAACAAAAAGGAAACTCATCAGCAGCAAAATTATCCTTTTTATCTAGAAAGAAAAAGAAAATCATACAAAAAACCCAAGGACCAATGTATTTGCTCACTTTTTTGGATTGTTAAAAAACATTTGTTTGCAGTAGACACTGCCACCCAAGAATCATATTTTAAAAAGATTTAACTAGGATTATATTTTTAATACACAAAAATGAAAAATGGAAAATTATTTCCATTCACTTAGAAGAAGTGAAGAATAAAAAATCAAATACTAGAATTTAACATCTAAAATTAAGTGTTGTCATTGAGAAAAATACTTGAAATTATTCAAACCAACTGGAAGTCAGAAAACAATTTAATTAAAGAGAAAAATAAGGTTATAAACAAAACATAAAACCTTTTTTTATTGACCTAACTTTTTTAAAATAATCAAGAAGGTTTAAATCCAACATTGCTGTTGGTATGATTGATGCTCACACTATGGTTCAGGGTATATGGTTTTCATTGCAGTATTATACACACAGAGATATCTACCAGAACTTAAGTCTAGCTTTAAAAAACCACTGCTTTAAGAAAAAACAGTTAATCTAACTGTTTAATGAAGTGAAAGACAAGAAATCTTTAAGCACAGGAACAATAGAGCTAAAGGGTCATTAATCACTTAGTCATTGTCTGCCTGCTCATCCCTTTATCACTGCGCTCTATTCACGCCACTGCCTCAGTGACAACAGGCTGATGTTACCACCTCAGTTTACAGATGTGAAAAATGTAATGTCCTAGAAAGTCAGCTTTTTATTTATTTTTTATTCATTTGTTTTATTTTTTAAAGATTATTTTGCACAGATTTTCCATTGTGGCAATAATTGAATTTAGCTTTAAAAGACATTTAAAAAATCTGTACAATATATCAGCTAAAAAGTAATTAATGATATCCAGGACTTGAAGGAACTATTTTGGTGATAGATCTTACCGTTATTGAAATACCAAAGCAGAGGTCTGGTGAGAGAGGGAGTTTTTGCACAGGGATTTTGTGGCGTGTATGTGTCCTAAAGTTCGAGTAACAGTCGGTTCTACTGAAGTGACTCAATAACAGGGAGTATTGCTTTCTCTTGGCAGAAGGATAACTGTGCCCAGAGCTACTCCACTGTGGATCCAGATCATCAGCTTTCCTCTCAGGTAGTGACCATTATCGTCACACGTAGGATCCTGTCCCCTGGCTGAAATGAAATCACAGTCCCAGCCTCCAGATCGCTTCTTCACGCTGATTATTTTGATTGTGTTAAACTGTTGGCAGATGATGCCACATCCTGAGGTTTCCACTGACTGACTCTGTCCTTGGTTCTGAACCCTCAGCTATCCTGGTTAAAGTCGCCAGGCTTCTAAATTGACTCTGGTGTCTTTAGTAGCTTCAGTGTTAGTTAAAGTGCAGTGGTAAGGCTTGGCTTCACCAACTTCCTAACCTCTTTGATAAAATTTTCTAACTTTGTCAGGCCTGTTGTCAATCCTTTGGTTGCTTTTGCCTATTTTGTACAGTATTTAATATCCTCACCATATAATGCTCCTAAAAAGTATATGAAACATGATGGGCTCATACTTGCAGTAGTTTTTCTCATTTTCTCCTTTAAACTGCCTTTTTCTTCAATTGCCTGCTAAATTCCAAGTCATTCTTGCTGCTGTGGACATGACTTCTTAGAAATGACCTTGGCTAAATGGAAGAACTCAGAAGAAGAATGACGTAGCAGAGTGAAGATAGAAGCTACAGATCAGTTGGTCCATTATGCGTCAGTGAAATAAATTATCTGATGATTCAATGCCAGTCTTAAGATCTTCCCTTTATAGCTGGCTAACTGCTCATTGGATATTAACAGGTTTGGCTAATGCAATGCTTTTATGTTATTTACTTGTTTTGGATATAAATTCAGCTGAAGCCTGTTCTATTTCAAAACAGACGACAATCCCAAATGATAAGGGACTAAAGCTGCCATAAAATGCTCACATTGCTATTTGTGATCAGCAGGTGTGTCAACATTTTCATCTTATCAGGCCATTTCACACCTGCCTGCTTTTCCATTGAATATTATTTCATATTATCATAAATGCCCCAGTGATATGGCTGATACTCTGTGACTTCCTTTTCAGTGCATATTGCTGTCATGAACTTTGCCAAGTTTGGCAAGACCAAAAAAAAAAAAAAATCAACAAAACCTAAATTCACTTAGAGTGTATAACATAAAAGTAATTAAATGTACTAAAACAAATAACTTGACTAGATAGTGTTTTGTAAACATGTCAAACTCCAGAAATCCCATCTTGACATGTGGGTAAATAATCCTCTAGTGGCTGCGTCTGATGAAGGATTTGGGGAAAAATAGGGAATGTTGCTGCATGCCTCTGTGAGGATTAATGTGCAATTCCTGATACGGTCAAGGTTTTCTTTAATACCTTTGAGAATTCTTGTTCAGATCCATTATTCATCAGATTCACAGGAATTACAACTGGAGTCGCATACACAAACATTAGGTGTAAACAGTTGCTTGCATGTTTATTTACACATTGTCATGAGGATCCCTGGCAGCCCAGGCCAGAGAGCTCATGAATAGTGCAGATAAGACTGGATGAAGACCTCCGAAAGGAAGTAGGCTTTTTTTTTCCTTTATAATGCAGAACCACTGTTGTAGCTGTGATGATCTCCGGTGATATACTGGTTCAATTGTTGGAAGAAAATTCCCCTGATCTTTGAGATCCCTGCTGTACCCAAGGGTCTGACGCCAAGATTGAAAACGGGGGCCACAAGTGCAATTGAATCACTACGGCCAGAAACTAGGGTCATACCAGTGCTTTTTGATCTAGGTTTTATTACACATATAACAGCTGTAGAACAAATATGTCTGACACACACTCACACTCACACTCACACACACACACCATTATCTATATAGTACAGACTTGACAGTATGAGGCAATGGCACCAGTGCATGTCAAGAGTTTTCAGCAGTGGTGTAAATTTGTCTTTCCATCTACAGCTTATTTAAACATAGGAGTAAAGGCAGCATTTTATCTGCGATTATAATGAAGTTCTACCAACTGATTCTATTGATCTCAAAATAATATAAACATTATTTCTAATGATTTTCAACATGGCTATCGATGAAAGAATTAGCAGAAAGTTGCAATTAATTCGACCTGAAATGTTTCTTTTCTGTGATGGTATCGTCTGTGAGGGTGAAAAAAAAAACATCTCTTCTCCACTAGAACGCTGTAAAACAAACATGTTTGTCCTACAAAATGCATTAAATGGATCCACCCTACCACCATGATACTGAATGTGAAGAGTTAGAGGCAATATGCACAACCAGATAAAGGCACCTAGTGAAGAAAGAAATAGTGGCGGAGAGAAGAAAATCAATTGATTCAATAATCTCTGGATCCCGTGTCAATAAGAAAAGAAGCAATTTGTTCCAGGCTGTTTGGTCGGACCTTAGATTCTAGGTTTTAATCAGATTTTTGGCATGTTAATGCTTCTCTCATGCATCTTCAGTAGGGTCATTATGTAACAGTCAATACAATCAGTAAACTCATTTAAGCCGGACATGTGACCGGCTCTGTCATCCATACTTCTACGTTTCATTAATTCCCTTTAAAATGAAACAAATAGTTGAAGTGGCCTTTCTCCTCATCTAATAACATTAGTGATACTGAATTCTCCAATCATGAAGAATAAGAAGGAAACCAATGAACAAGTTAGTATATATATATCCTTTATGTTGCACCCAAATGTCAAAAATAAAAGCACGGGAAATTTGACATTGACAAAGGAATGCTGTTATTTCCTCAGCAGTCAGTTGATTCAGTGTTTTTCAGTGTTTTCTTATAGACCCTGCCATCACCATTTGGACCTTATGGACAATTTATTTTGGAAGCTGCGATTCAGCACATTCAATTTGAAATGAAGTGACTGTTCCTACATTCTGGGTCAGTTCATGACCCAGAATTGAAACTGCAGTGTGAAAAGTGGCAGCGGTGTTTTATATTTTACTCATAAACACTTAAATATTTCAACATTCCCTTTATTTATTTTCTACGTATTTTCCTTCTCTTCTAATCTTTTCAGTATTTTTACCTCAAGGTTGAATAGTAACTTTGCTGGTGTAATAGTTGTATACTTTTGTTCCTACACTAAAGTGAAAGGACCTCTTGCTTTACTGCTTACTACCAATCCTTACCAGGTGTAATTACCTCCAAAATACGATTTAGCTCACACTTGAGTTGTCATGAGAGAGTAGTCTCAGACTGACATGTCTTATCTATTGGTCCATCAGCATTCAGTGGCCATGGAAAAATGCCAGTGGAAAAATGCAATGATTTTTTTTTTCTAAAACTAAATAACTAAAGAAGAAATAGTTTCTCCTACATCAAGCCCAGTGTACTTATACTTTTAGTACTGCTTTTTTACTAACCAGGGCTTCAGATGTGTGCTGCATTTAATGAACTCTTCTCTTGTTGCTTTATTGCTTGGCAACACAACAGGCACAGTATGAGCTCATAACAAATGAAGTAACTGCACGGTGTGACGAGAAGTTCAGCCATAATGGCTGCGTGATTGTTTTATTGGTGATTGCATGAGTTAAGAAAATACTCTATAATATTTCACTGTATTTTTTATGTATAGGTTATTGACAGTAAAACGTCTACATCAGTGTTGCCGTGATGGCAAGGAAAAATTGCCAGATGAAAATAAATAACCTTTTTTTCTTTTTTGCCTTGCCTTGCCTTGCCTTCCCATCAAAGCATTGAAATGTTCTTTCAGATTTTGAAAAAAAATCTTTAAATGAGAGATTTATTGTGACATGTTTCCATTTAAGTTTGTTTTAATGTTGATGTTTGCTCTAACAGGGTTGAGCACCAGACAAAACAAAACACTTAATGTTTGACATGATAATGATAAAATAAGTAAGTAAAACTTTTCAAAGCTGTCAAAGACATCTGAGAGGTTTTAACTATAATGTTTAAGTGAAATCGGACATCTCTTCGACTTTTAACATCTGTCTTGACACATTTTGACTCTATGCACCTTTATTGTAAACTACCAGGATCTGTAGCTGTTGTTTCCCTCTAAAGTCACTGCCTACCACCCCAGGTTGTACTAACCATTTTTGGCCACTTCCCACTGTTCATTGTCTAAAGTGCATTCATTTAATCAGCCACGGCAGTTTTACAAGCCTTATCTCCAAAGTTGCTCTGGCCATAAATGTCCGAGGATGGATGTTCGTTCAGGCAGAGGAACTGTCCAAGGTGCTGCATTCAGCCCCTCCCCGGTAGACATCACACAGGGCCACGTGATCTGCTCTGTCTGAGGCTCCTGACAGTCGCTGGATAAGCTCAACAGGGAAACCAGATTGCACCGTTCCTCCGCGAATATCACTGGATTTTCAGCGCGCTCCACCTGCCAGCGGTTTTATCTTTATTCCCTTTTCTAACTGCTTTGTGACCGGGATGAAACTCTAAAGACGTACTAAAGTATTAAAGGTAATTTTCCTCCTTTTTCCTGCACTTAGAAAATGTGAATTTTATTTGTAGTTGGAGTAAAAGTAAAGCATTTTCTCTGCTTTTGTTTCTCCTCTCGCTGCGAGGCTGCGATTCTCTAAATGCCAGATTTGTATTAAATAAATGCTTCCAGTGAGAAAATCGGAATCTAATTCACGCGCCACCAAAAGACACAAGAACGCGGTCATGTTCTCATTCTGAACACAACTATTTAGGGTCCCATAGAAGTGGAGATACTCACGCAAATGCCTCTATATGTTTGGTTTTATCATTATTTACTTATCCATAGTTCCAGCTGTCCGCAGTAAGAAGATGTGTAAAACAAAAAAAAAAAATTAAAATACTGCGCCCTTTATACAGCTGTCATCCAGGGAGAGATATTAAGGTATGGAGCATATTACGGATGAGGGGCTGGTGGAGAGGATGGAGCTGCTGTCTCAGTTCCATCGCTTCAATCCGAAAAGAATTCTAGCTTTAATGCACACATTTCAGTCTGAAAACAGCAAAAAGCTCAGAGAGAGGTCGCATTTTGCTTTTTTAAAGGTGTAAAGTAATTGCGGTTGTTTTGATTCAGGTTGTTGGATTTATTTATATATTTATTTATTCCCCATATTCCTGAAGGGATCAGTGTGTGAGAATGAGCCGACCTGGTCTCGTGGAGGTAGAATCGTAATGACCTGTAATGATGGGGAATACGAGGAGCACATTCGGGGGTCTGAGAGCCAGTGGCAGACAGACTGGTTCGTCTTACACAAACCAACCACTGTGATCAAATGACGCACTTTCGCCCGTGTCGGGACTTCGATAGAGGGCAGGCTGCTGAATAGACTCCTGTATCGGAATCCTGCTTATAATGGTCATGAGCACGGCTGCAGAAGTTCCCATCTGAGCCGAAGTGATGGCCATAACGATAAAATAATTTAAATAACTGCCGTATTTATTTGAAGTGACTGGAATAATCTGCTGGATTTTGTCATTTAAAAAAAAAATCTATAATCAATCCCTAATCATTCCAGAGTGTGATGAATGTTTGGATAAAATCCAGTTGTTGTTGTTATTTTCTCTCCTTCCATTCAGTGTGTGCATTTTGTTACATTTTTCAGGATGTGCGTGCAGAGCCAGTGTATTCTGCACACATGCAGTTCTTCTGAAAATGTATAATGCATGTACGAAGCATTTTGCTTCTAGAAATCCCCTCTGTATTATTCTAATAACACTGCCCTGCTGTTATCACTGTTATTACGCCTCCTCCTGATGTAAGTGCTTGATTGCTGCCTTTGCCTTAAACATGGCACTGACTTGTACCCCTGATTAGGGCTTTGACCAGGGGTGGATGTGGACGTGGGTATGGCAAACATGCTGATACTGTGTTTGTTTTTCTTTTGCAGCGATAGAACGAAAGAGAGAGAGAGCTTTGGGAGAGAGGACTGCTTTTACAGACAGAAAGCATCTTTTGCTGAGCTTATCATCAGTCAGGCTCCATATGTCTTTTTTATTGCCTCTGAGGATGCAGGGTGAAAAGCCCCGAGCAAGTCTTCCTGAAGAATGTTGGCAGGAGTGTGAAGATTAGAGCTGCCATTTCATCTTATGTGAAATTCCGTGCACTCTAACAGGCACCAGAAGGAACTGTTTCATAATTACACAAATTAGAGCAAGTGTGCCTGATAGCTATTTGAGTCCTTGTCTCTCTCTGCTGTAAATAGCCATGGCTTCAAGGACCCTTAAAATATTTAAACCATTTTGGCATAAACAGTGAGAGGTTTTCCCAGTGGCCTGTACAGAAGTTTATGGTATTTAATTGGGGGAATAAATGTTGGCCAAACCCATTACTATGCAAATATATTACACCATATAACCCTTTTGTCTTAAAATGCATCAGTTTACACATGTTTATGCCTGTGGACAGTCAGTTGTAAACCAGTTTGCCCTCTCACTGTCTCTCCACTGTGTTTGCTGCTTAAGCAAAGGCTCCTACAAGTAAACTTGGCCTGAGGATTCCCATTTATATACACAGAATTCTTGATCACATGATGGTTTTACCAAAGCCACGTGGTGCCCATATTTTATGGGTTGGGCTGTTATTGTGTTGCTCTGTAGAAATAGGCACGTCTTTAGAGTTCACAGGAGCCGAGGGTCAGTGGGCTAGATTTCCAGTGTGGAATGCATGTTGCGAAAGTGAAATGGGCTTCAATATGAAAACGAAAAGTTCCCACGGACTGCTGGTGTACTTCGATGATGAGGGGTTCTGTGACTTTTTAGAACTTCTCATACTGAATGGTAAACTCAGTCTTCGATTCTCCATCTTCTGTGCCGAGCCTGCGACAGTCCTGTCAGACACGGCGGTCAACGACAGCCAGTGGCACGCAGTCAAAATAAGGAGAAACTTCAAGAACACAACCCTAATTGTGGACAATGAGATAAAGTGGGTGGAGGTGAAGTCAAAAAGACGGGATATGACTGTTTTCACCCCTCTGTTTGTTGGTGGAATACCGCCGGAGTTACGATCCGTGGCTCTTCGACTGACATCTGCTGTTGTTAAGGATCAGTTGCCGTTCACTGGATGGATAACGGACATAAAGGTCAACAACACGGAGCCTGTAATGATCGAGAGTGAAGGGGTCTTAAAGGACCTCTGCGGTATGGCCAACATGTGCCTGAATGGAGGAGTCTGCAGTTTAATCGACAACCAACCGACTTGTGACTGCTCCCAGACGGGTTTCCAAGGAAAGAACTGCAGTGAAGGTAAGACACCCGGATTGAGTTTAGAAAAAACAACCACTTTATCAGACGACAGGAAGTGATGTTGCTCAAATTAAATTTCTGTGTTTAAACAACTAAATGTATAAAAAGTCACTTTTGGATGTAGGTGAGGCCATACGTTAATGTTAGTCATACGTAGTGTGCCATTGATCTCCAATACAGTTGTTTTTAACGAGTGACTCTCCTGCAAGGCCTCATTAGTAAAACATGCAGGTGTTCTGCAGCCCCAGAGGTGTCTTCCTTCCTTATCATGCAGGTCAATGGGGATTGGTTGACCTATGAAACATCTCCAATGACTTAAAAGCAAAAAGAGTGTGTAATCAACTTAAAGACAGTCGGAGTAAACATGAACGATCTTACGTCCCACGTGTGTTTAAGGGTAAAAAAACAAACAAAAAAGAAACACATGTACCTGAGCTGATCTGTCATCATCAAAAAATGTTCTTTTCATGTAATTATTTATAATTAAACATAAAATATAAAACAATCTAGAACCATTTTTTCCAGTACAATAAAGTAAAACAGAGACTTGGATAGGGGTTCTTTTAAGGCTAAGAGCAGAAATGTTTTAATAATTTGATCAAATATTAATAAAGAGAATAAATAGATACACACGTAGGGAGTGCACAAAGAGAACACGGAGTTCTTTGAGGTAGCAGAAGAAAAAAAGACTGGGTTGTAGTCTGTCTTTGTGATTGTGATATCACTGTTTTTCATATCCTCGCTGTTGCCTGCATGAAACCATATCAGTATTCAGGGTATTCAGTGCACATCTTTGCGCAGGTTGCAGCTCACTGCTGTGACAGGGAGGAAGGAGTTTGTTGGTCAGACTGAAGGGGGGAGGGTGTGAATGATGGTGTTCGTTTGTTTTTTCTTCTCTTTTTCCTCCTTTCTTTGAGATGCAGATGAATAATTCTTAGAGTTTATTTTAGCTCACTGCCACCCAGTAAAGAAACTCTTCACATTAATTAAGGAAATGTCAAATAGGTTTATATAACACCATTATTGGTCCAGTGTTGAAAGTGAGTGTCATTAGATTGCCATTAGTCATTGATTAGAAAACCCAGCTGAAAGCTACGTGGAGTGGCTGTGTTCATATTTCATGACTCAGAACAGGTTCAATCTTTATCCCTTCTCATGCACAGATTAAATGGATAATTGTTGCATTTGTTTCACTACAGAGCCATGTTGTGACATTTGTTATATTTCTCCTGCAGACAAGTGAGCTTTTTTTTATCTTGCACTTTATTACCATAATGCATCAGATCAACCAGAATAAAACCAGCTTAAAAGTGTTATTAAATATATTCATACTCTTCACAAATGCAATTATTGCTCCCTCACTTGACCTTTCAAAATGCATTTAAAAACCACAGACTGTTTTTTTTTTATTATTAAATAGGTTGCCACAATGATTTGCTACGGTTTCAGCTTGTTTTTTGGTCTTGTTACAAAAACTGACAGAGTACTCTATTCACACTGGTGACCTGCCCTTTTTAAAGGCCAACATTTGACTATTTTTGAGTGCAAAGCACCTGTTTGGATTTGGCATGGGTGGAATACATAAGAGCCTACCTGGTCATTTTTTAGATACTTTAAACTGTGTAAAGTGTTAAAAATCACACTGTCCTCCTTATGTTCCACAGCTTCAGCAAATTCCAGTTTTGAAAATTGAAGAACTTCATCTACAAAATTTAAGATACCGCAATTAAAAAATGACTTATTACTTGATAGCAAATCATCTCATGAAGTGTGAACTGCTGGTTAACGCTAACAGACGACTGAAAGACAAACAAACAATCAATCAGTGCAGCTGTGTGCTGCTGTCGCCCCATACAGTCTCAACAGCACAGTGTGGGACTGAAAGGCTTCACAGTGTTCACCAGCCTTGGCTTCCATGGCATTAGTCAAAGCGAACAAACAGACACTGAGTTACAGTAAAGCAACAAACCCGTTGTCATCAATCATGGCTGCCACAGTGATACAACTAAAAAAAAAAAATCCAAGATTCTCATTAGTTTTCTGTTGAATGTAGTGTCATCGTTGATAGTTGTTGTTTTTGTCAAGGCATCAATATTTATTTAAAACATCATTTCTTTATAGGGTTTAGAGTGAAGTATGTGAAAAATACACAGTAAAAGTGTAATTTCAAATATTTCACTTTTATCCTTGTTCTATTCTATAAAGTAATAGTTTTTAATATTTCTGTCTTAAAGGTGAAGCCTTAAAAAATGCATTCACTCTATAGCAACTAGTATAAAATAGCACGCAAAATAGCAAGGTAACAATTAAATCCTCCTTCTGAAAGTGAACCAACACCTGCCATTTTTCTCCAATCAAAGCATCCACTAATTGTGTTTTTCCAGCCAGAACAGATACATTTTCTCTTTCCAGCCCACGTTTGTGAGTTGTTGTTTCCAGCCTGAAAAGCTGAAAAAAATGCTGCTATTTCATTTGTCAGAATCATAAAAAGGTTTGGGACAAGTAAAAAAAAACAAAAAACAACACCATATCAAATCCTTTTTTTTTTTCACCCGCTGAAAGATATTGCAATTTCTTTCACATTTTTCCCCCACAATAACGTTCTCATTTTGATTTTCTGTTAAGATGGACCTAGAAATGATGTTTACATCATCTCCTCTGTGCTCCTCTGTGAAATGTTGTGCAACATTATTCAAAACTCTCATTTGACTAGAATGGATTTTATGTCCCTGTTAGATGGAGTGGCAGACAACTTTTCCCATCTCGTGACATTCACGATAATGAAACACCTGGTAGTAGGAGTTCTTTTTAAAAAAAAATATTTTAAAACATGCCAACTTCTGAAGGTTGTTTTAGAAGCAGGTCATGGATGAATGAGTTTCCCACACAAATTTTCCCAACACAGACACAATGTAGGATACACTTAATTGCATTTTTCTATTTTTAATACAAATTCCTCTTTAAATCGTTTCAAGCACACACAGACTAGGCAGCTATTCTTTCATTGAATTTTATGAGCATTATGAGAGATCTTCTTCTTAATTTTACTCACAGTTCCTTGTTAACAATGGTCTGCATAAGTTGGGGACACTTCGCATAGATAGTTTGCAAAGAACTCTGTTAGTGCTATGGTGTAAAAACTCAAATCTGCAAGTGTAAATCATTTAAATTTGAATTTCTCCGTATGGTTGCAGGTACTGTGACCTCATCACTGCCACTGTGTAGTATCTGTTTGTTAAGCTTTTAAACTGAGGGTTTGACTTGTGTGCAGTTGATTTGATCATCGTTGTGCAGTAGTTACATGTAAATGGAATTACAAAGCTTGGGCTCAGTGGTAAGAAGATCACAGGTTTGAATCCCACCCTAGCTGTGATGTGTTGAGTCAGCCAAAATCAATGTGGTCTTCTTCTTTTCTGGGACCAGTATTTTAGAAAGTTGTGTGTCACCAGATTAACGCTAACCATTAGCAGTTAAAGCCTTACCCCCCCCTTTTTTATCCTTTAATTCATATTTTCTCCTTCACTTAGAAATGTGGTTCTGCGTCATTAGAACCAGGTTTTGGTGTCTATAAAGTTTTTTACTAGTACAGTAACAGTGCTATGAATTCTGTTTAGTAGGTACTGTAGCAAATACAATCACACAAAACATGTGTTACAGTACTTTAAACGTACTGTAGCTTCTAACAAACATAAGGCATCCTTTGGCTTCTGACCATAGCAGTCTAATTATTCTGTAATATCTTTAATCCATACTCTAACCCTGATCTAACCCTGATATATATATATATATATATATATATGCACATATGTACATATGCACATATGTACATATATACATATATATGCACATATGTACATATATACATTGTTTTATATATATATATATATATATTTATGTATTTAACAATGTAACTCTTTTTGTTAGATGTACTGAACTGAAATCCATTTGATGTTTTACCCTAAAGCAAAAAAAAAAAAAAAAAAAGAGCAAATATAGGAATTCCCTATAAATACATAGATTTACTATTGAAATGTTGCTCATCATGAGGCACATAAAGGCGCCAATAATGACTTGTGCCTCAACAAATCGTGCTACACCACATCTTAAGTTTGCATTTAAATGATCACCATCCACGGTGACGACAGCTGCGTGCCTCTATATCACAGGAAAATAGCCACATTAGCATGTATCTTTTGCTCATTTTCCACAGCATGTTGAATCAGGGCAAACATAGCACACAATCTGTTATAACACCTCTCGTTGTACAGAGGAGGAGGAAGAGGAGGAGGAGAAGGAGGTGTGAAGTGTCATAATGAAGGTAGAATACCTAAACTCCGGAGGACAGTCTTTCACACTGTGTGATCCATACATAGATGTGACATATACAACATCTATGCCTGTAAATATGTTTAATGTGACGACCTGAGAACTTTATATATTCCATGGTAACGAGAGTGTTTATTGCTAGGTGCAAATGAAAACTAGACCAAAATGTACTGTCAGCACATATTCTCACCAACACACTTGTACATTAAACTATTTTAACACTTCACCATCAGTCCATTCTTCTTTAGATGATGACAAGACAGGTGTGGACACTCACTAACCTGAAAACAAAGAGAAGGTTATATCTTTTTAATAAATAATATTATATATATGTGTGTGTGTGTGTGTAAATTTAAATGTTTGTTTGGATGGGGTCAGTTCAAATACTTTTCCTCTCATGAATTAATGTTAAAATGCTAAAAAACCCAAGATAGAATGTAAAGATTAAACATTACGATGCTAAAAAACCCACAAAGATAGAATGTAAAGATTAAACATTACAGTTTATTTATGAACAGAAAAACATTGTAAATGACCAGTTTAAATAGAGGGATTAGCTTCTGTTGCTAGGTTAAGATAAGCTAAATAAATCAACAAATATTGACTGTACGTCAATTTATTTAATTAATTACCATTTTAAATGCATTTAAGGGTTTTAAAAATAGCGCAGGTTT